AAGATTAAAAAATATATGAAAGCAACCAATCTAGTGCTTTCGGATTTATTCAGCGTCCAGGATTAATATTTGACTCCACATGTCTTCATTCTGTTTAATGAGTTACTGCTCATGAAATTAATTTAGTCTGTGTCATCGTCCAATAATTGGTCCGCGACGTCCGATCTAATATGAACGCATAAATAAGCAATACGCTTGTGTAAGAAACTGGCAATTTTCAAAGGAATTTCGTTATCTGCACAACGTAGGCCGCCTGCGCCGGCTGCGTCTAACTTAATGGTTAATAGGATTATGTGTTGTGAAATTTGCTAGTAACGGGGTAGAGCCGATACGTTATTAAAATAAGGTTTTAATATACAGACAGTATTGTTAGGGACGTCGGATGCCATTATCAGTTGACGAAGTATTTTAAACTATAAATTTTAATGATAGCGTATTTTTTTTATTCAAATGTATGTGCGCACTTGACCTCCATCTCACCTGATAGAAAGTGACGATGAGATCGACGATGGAGCATGCACACCTAAACAATGCCTATTCACGCCTTGAAAAGGTCCAAGCTATAACGTTCAGGGAACAAGTCTGCAGACAGGGAATTCTACTCCATAGCCGTTCGCCTTATAAATAGGTATGGAAGCGTAACGCTTCGTGTGAATCTTTGGAATATATGTTGTGGACATAGGGATGGACGTCTAATTCCCCGATAATGGAAAGTAATTCCATCGCACATTCTCCGTGATAAATCCTGTAAAATACTGATAAGCAGGCAACTTTACGGCGGCATAAGCCTCTAGACACGCTTGTCAATTGAATCCAAGGTGTATATACTATTAATTGTATTGGTTTCTAAAAGATCTTTCTCAGAGACAGGTCATACGAACGTCGAACATTTGTTATGCAGACGTGTTACAGTCGCTACAAAAGGTTTGTAGTATACAAGCTTTAGTGTGCATAACCGATTACATATGTAGTTTTTTGACGATTGTACAACAACTGTAAACTCTTATATAGCCCAGTAGAAAAATTCCGCGATATTGCTGCCTTTCAAGAATAATGGCTCAAGCCAAAATAAAGCACTATTAACTAGCAGTAGAGCTCCTTGTGAAAGAGTTCGTTCTACCTATGTCTGCCGCCAAGCAGTAATGTTATCATCACTGCGTTGCGGTTTTTGGTAAGTAAGAGTGCTGGTGAAATTACAGGCACATGGGACTTGTCAACATATGTCTCAGGATGAAACAGTGGCATTGCCCTTCAGATCTTTGTGACTTAAAGCTCTGAATGGCATTGTAACTATAATGGACAGGCGTGTAGCTTACCACCAAGCGCACATTGCTTTGACGATGACTGCTAGTTTCCTCACTATATTTTCGTTCACCGAAAAGCTCATGCTAAATTTCATATTCTTCTTCTTTTTTAGACTTTCTGATCGTCTAAGATGTAGGCCCCATTCAGTTTATGCCCTCTTTCCCGGTCTTGACCAGTTTCTAACCAATTTGTTGCCGCCAGTCCTTTGATATCGTCGTACCAACGCATCTGTAGTCTTTCCTCTTGGGGGTTTCTCGCACCCCACGGTCTCCATTCCACCACTGCCATGCACCAAGAGCCTTTCTTGCGAACGACATGGCCAGATTACTGCCACTTCAATTTCACAACCCGTTTACTAACATCGCTCATTTTAAATTTCAAATTAAATTTAGATAGATAGAATCTTTATTTACCACTATGACAAATACATACACAGACACATAATACAGACATTAACTTAGACGTAACACTGTAATATATATTCTACTAATATCTCTCTTGGAAGCCATGGAAATGAAAAGGCGCTGACTAAGCATAAATGACGCTACTCGTAAAACCCAAAATAAAACCAATTTCATTCAATCCAAATTCTAACCAATGCAATTCAATCCAATTTAATTTCATCCAATTTATTTTCTATTTAATTTTTTTTAACACCCGTGGCTAACTGTGGCACACACAGTGGCTAACTCATATTTCCAATTTCTGCATATTTAAAATATACTCCAGCAGATTCTGCTGTGTTCTGCTGTGTCTGCTGAGTTCTTTTTGTGACGCTGTTACGGATAGCAGGCGGAATATTGTTCCAACAACTAGTGGCTGAGTATCGGAAACTCCCTCTAAACGAACGTTACAAGCAGAAACACAATTTTCGACCTGGCTCCAAAGCAAAATTCACATGTAAATTCCGAAAAGTTAGAAACGCAAGCTTGGATTCGAACCCACGATTGTCTGAGAGGCGGTACGTAAAACCATTAGGCAGCCACGGCTTTCTGGCTATCTGGTCTCAAACTAGGAAATCCCAGTCCTATAAGCAGAGCTTCGAACTTATCTCAGGTTGCATTACCATCTGGGTAACACCCTGGGCACCCAGACCAGAACCAATTTAGAAAAGTTTATGTCCTTCCGGGAATCGAACTTGAGTCCTCCTCATCTAATGCCCACACTACTATCCGCTAGACCACCGAGGTCATCAAATGTTACAACAAAAATGTGAACAGCAGCTAGTGATGGGGATGATTTGAAGACCAACTCTCAAGTGATAACTTACCAGTCCATGACGTAACAAATCCGTGCATCGAGTAATCAACTAAATCGTACTTGAGAGACAGTAGATCAAACAATTAAGCTACCACGGCAAATGTAAGAAAATAAGAAGTAACAAAACGCACCAGACGAGGTAACGCTAAAAGAAATAACGCTATTAGAGTAGAGCACGCAACGCCTCGCTCTGGCGGACATCTCGAACGTGCTTTCTTTAGGAAAACTCATCTCACTTATGACTACGCGTAATGACATTTATTCTAATTGACTATGTGAAATAATGACGATGAGAAAATTATTTTGGGAGAAAATCGACCGCAATTACATTCAGGCGAAAAGAAAGAATAAAAATGAGGAGCCTGTTTTTGACAGTTATCTTCACAAAATCACAAATTCATTGATGGAGTAATAAATACGCTACAAAAAGATTCCGATTGTAAGAAAAAAAATGCCATTTACGAGGTCTAAAACGATAGAGGAGCAAAAACTATGCACTAAATGCATTATACATCTTCTGCGTACTTGCATGACAAAAATCCATGATAGTGACATGTGTACCTCTTGCAGGTTGTCTTGATCTGTCATAGTTGGATTAAATATTGTAAATTGTAAATGTATACAAATAGCAATCCCCGGAGTTTCTTACTCGTTCTTCTCAGGGAACCTTACGAATGAGTAGCATAATTTAGTTATAGTAATTTAGTAGCATTTAATCAATATAACGGTTTAAAGTGTAATTTGCCAACCTATTTTCTTATCGTATCATTGCTTCTTTTATTATAAGACTATATTGACTTTGGAATGTATGTTGCCCCTTAACTGCGCTATCCATGACCTCGTAGAGATTTTCCCTCGTACATGTATTAGTTCGTAACAATAGACAATGTAATTCGACGATAAAGACTATCTATGAAATGTCTACTAACAACGACTTCTTAGCCGTAGCGCCATCTATAAGAAATCTACGAAAGTATTTCGCCACCTAGTTAGGTACCTTTACAGCTACCAGCCGTGACTAGAGATGTCGCTATTAAGTTTAGTTAAATTTTTATTGAATGTCAGAATGTTTCATCACCATGATATTTATTTTTTGTCAAATAACTCCAGTTTGTTATAAATATGTCCGATTCGTATCAGGCGGTCTACTCTCGATCTCCGTCCAACATCCGTCCGAAACAATTACTGTCAAATAAGTAATATTCTACAAAATGAAAAGACAAGTATCAAGTATCTTGATACTTGATACTTGAAGCTTGCTTCATTCGCATCACGCGTCTTTTCATTTGGTCAAGTAGTGCTTATTTGGCAGTAATTATTTCGGACGGATGTCGGACGGAGATCGAGAGTAGACCCCCAGTTCCGAATCCAAGAAATGACGGTCCGAAATGCCACTGGTATCATTTTATCTCTAGGTATACAAGTGATATTCGTATCGGACTAAATGCACAAGCAACATTCGAAGTGGGTCCGAATTTTCTAGATTTATATATAGGAATGAAACTATTTTTCCGGATTTAAATCGCGTATATTTGTTTTTTCAAACAAACCGACGTTTCGGGCCCTTTACAGGTCCCATGGTCACGGTTCAACCGTGAAATAGTTTCATTCCTATGTATAACAATCGCGAAAACCTAAGAACTCGATAGATTTATATAGTCACGGATTTGGACGGGATACAGTCGGATGTAATGCGCTTATAAGTCCGTATCGGTTAGATGTTCTGATCTGAGTCAGATCTAGGGATGCGTCTCAAGGCATCCTTTATTAATAGATTATAAACATTGACGTCATGGATGACAGCATCCCTGGTGACCACCTGGTAACCTTGCACTTGTTTGTTTAGGACTTAATTAAGATCTTGAGCTTTATGCTCAATTTACATTGTCGCGGAAGGGATTTTTGTTTATTCTATTATTTTGTTTAAATTTAATTGTTTTTGACAAGCGAGCAGTCCCGGGATCACACGATAGGGAGTATTTGGGTCATTCGGGTTAAATTTTAACTTTGTTTTAAAGTTAAAATTTAACCCGACTCCGGACCATTCAGACCCCAAAAAACTGGTCGCGAGTCTTCCGGAAAATTCTCACGCGGTCTCGGGAATTTTCTTAATCAAAAATAAATATATATTTCATTAAATAGACATCTCAAGATTGTTTACTTTTAGTTAAGTACCTTAGCAAATGAACTATAGTGTACGTTACACAACTGATATAAAATTCATTATTCTATTTACAATTTGGTTAGGGAAATTCGGTTCCTAAGCCATAAAAGCCAATTGTAATGCGCGGTGATTTAAATTGAGCTGGTTAATTGAGTGACGCAATTGATGATTAAACGAACGTACCTATAAATGAAGTTGTATCATAATTATCATCTGTTTCATCAATTTGTTTTATGCACATACCTAAACGTTGTTTTCTATTTATTTACAGGAAGAATTGGAGACCCTGCGAGCTAAATTGGATAAGGTGGAAGGCGAGCGCACACATTTCAAAAACGAATCTGAGAAGCTTGAAACTAAGGTAAGTTTAGTTTAACCAATTTGACCAGACCTGCAATTGGATTCTATATCACACGCAATCGTGTTTGTTAGACGTTTTTAATAAAGCTACAGAGACGACCTTCAACCTTTTATTTATTTTTTCATTATAAATAAACTGTAACAACCAAAACGTTTACATGGTAATTACCTTTTCTTTTTTCTATTTTTTTTTATAAAAAAATAAGTGCGCATTTGACCTCCATCTCACCTGATGGAAAGCGACGATGAGGTCGAGAATGTTGCATGCACACCTAAATAATGCGAAAGCGAATAGATCACTCTCGCCTTGAAAAGGTTCTAGTTACAGCGTTCAGGGAACAAGTCTGCAGGCAGGGAATTCCACTCCCTAGCCGCTCGCCATACAAATGTGGAAGCGAAACGCTTTGTGCGAATCCTCGGGAGACTAGATGTGAACGAGTGGAACCCTCGCTCACATCTAGTCTCCCGAAGATGGAACGGGGTAGGCGGAATCAGATTATGCAATTCCATCGCACACCCTCCGTGATATATCCTGTAGAATACCGATAAGCTGGCAACTCTACGGGCGGCGGTGTGCAAGACTCTGCAGCTTCGCCTCTACTAATTCCGAGTCACCTACAAGCCTCTTAGCACGCTTGTGTATTGAATCCAAGGTGGCCAGTTTGTATTTAACAGAGCCATGGCAGTGGCAGCAGTACTCCATACATGACCAGACTTGTGCTTGGTACAACTGAAGCAACTGTCCCGGTGTGAAGTAACGCCTCACCTTGGAAAGGATGCCAAGCTTCTTGGCTGCATTTTTGGATAAGGATGTATCTGCCGAAGTTCAGATTGGACGACAGGTCCATTCCAAGCAGGTGAAGACGATCGGCTATCGGTATGGATATATCACGAAAAGTCGGAGTCAGGTGAAAGGGACTCCTTTTAGTGGAGAAAAGACACGCCTGCATTTTGGTAGCATTAAATGTGACAAAATTGGCATCGCCCCAATCGGAGATTACCTTAAGTGTCAAATTCAAGCGACTAACCGTGGACTCTCGACAAGACCGGATTTTTTTCTCCACTGATCCTTGCATTGGTCAAGTACGTGTCCACAACTGTGCTGTCATCAGCATACCCAAAGGTACCCAAATCAACATATCGTTTATATGCAGCAGAAAGAGGGTTGTACATATACTACATACATACTTGATGCGCTAGATTTGCTTTTCAAATCAGTTTGCTAATTCTGTCGTAAAAGATGCTAGCATCCAGGACCTCCATGAGACCTTGTTTCGTACGCGCGTTATCGGCAAGGCAAAAGTGCTGCACGGGGAGCGCAAACAGCTGATGTCGTCGTCGGCCCGTGCGGACATATTTACTTGTTCGGTACAAACAGATCGACGTTGCTCAGTGTTTCGGGGTTATCTACTATACGTAGCAGAAATTTTTGTAAAAGAAAAACGGAAGTAAATGACCTCCGTGAACTAAGCAAAGGTTCAATCGTGCAAAATAGCTGTTTTTCATATACTTGATTTTCCCACCCTTCATCCGTATAAAATTAATAAAATATTTTTATCCACAAAACATAAATATAAGCGAACAATTAAAATAAGAGAAGAGTAATGTGGGCAAAAAGGATAAAGACTTTGGTGATCTTCAGGTTTCACCTCTTGCTATTAGCTAAATATACAAAATCTCAACTACAATCACAAACACCGCCACCGAAAATATACTCTACACGTGTTTCGTCTCTTTACGACGCATCCTCAGGTGTTGCTGATTGTTCGACACTCGGTCGAAGAATGGTAATGGTGGGAAAATTAACTGCGTGATCAAAAATTCAACAAGCGTAGCCATTTTGCGCGAATTGACCTTCACTGGCTTCGTGGTTCGTAGCAAAGTAATTTTCTTCCATTTTTATTAATATGAATTTCCTTGAGTAACGCCTAAATAATATTATAAATTACTTTTCGTGTCGGCAAAATTTGAAACCTCGTAACTCCGTTTTTGGACGACGTCCGTTTTTCCTCTTTAGGCGCAGTTTGACAATTAAAGCTTAGAATATCTTTACTGGACCAAAGATCTTAAAGGTTTAATTGTAACGTAATGGATTGTCATTTAAAATAATTTTTAGTAAGTTCACATTAATTGGAGATATGAGGTTTGCCAATTTAGCCATCGTTTTGTAAAACGTCTAGAAATGTCCAATGTTTTCCCACGAAATACAAACTTCGTCTATTTGCAAAATATTATTTAATTGATCTAAGAGTAAATTAAATGAAAATGAGTATGAAGGTATGAACTGAATGAAGTGAAAATGAGTATGACTTTTAGTAGCAATGGATCTCCATGTGAAAGAGTTCGTCCAGAGAAGTACTGCCACCTTACCTATGTCTGCCGCCAAGCGGTAATGTTAGCATTACTACGTTCCGGTTTTGAAGGGTGTTACACGAGGCGAAAGTTTTCGCGCGGCCGCCGCGCGCCGTCCGCCCTGTTATCACGCACATTAATGGCAAATCTGAATTCTATTTACTAGGCAACGAAATTTAAATTCCTCTGAATAATACAAGCGCGCGGGCCGACGCATACATCAAATTCCAGCCAGATTCGCTCTCGTGCCCGGAACGCTCGTTTAAGTTAAAACGTATATGCTAAACAAATAGAGCGTATTTTGCCATGACAGTTAGACGCACGCGGACTCCGCTCTTCGACTGTGGTGAGCGCATTGAAATTCGTGTCGAATAAATTCGCTCTAAGGTTGCTGGTGAAATTACAATCACATGGAACTGGTCAACTTAAGTCTCAGCGTGACAGGCGCAGTGGCAGTGCCCTCAGATCTTTGCGATTTAGAGCTCTGAGTGGCACTGCAACTATTATAGACAGGCGTGTAACTCAGCATCAGACGCACGACTTGTTTGTCCCGTCACTTGATATTATAAAAAAAGACTATATTATTTCAAGCGAAACACGTTGTTCGAAGACAGGTTTCAATGCAATACGAAAAATGAGTCCTTTGATAATGTATATCGCAAAACAAGATATATATCCAGCGAAGGACCAATGGCCTTAAGGCCTCGGGAGGTTATCGGCTTATCGATATTATAGCTTTTTGTTTTTTACACTTCTTTTAATATTGGAATATGTGTTAGAGAAATGTAATCCCAGGATGGCTGTAGACAGTTGTTTATAGAAGTTTTAAAACTATTTTTCATCGTACTTGCACGTAAGTACACTGATTACATGCAGTCCAACGTAACTCATTACAGCCATGGTCGATAATGAGAAGAAAATAGGCCCGAGGTTTTATTTAATAATAATAATAATAATATACGTTTATTTTCTCCACAAACATAACTGTTATACATGTACAAAATTAGAAGCATATAATAAAATTTTACTTCTACATTGTGTAAGAGACTGGAACCTAAACTAAGCGTAAGCTTGTAATATAGGATGCCAGGTCTCTCACCTCGGATAACAAGACTAACAAAATATTGAGAAAACACAAAATATGAAGCGGAGCTGCAGCGCTACAGTCGCGGCACACGCGCCCCTTACAGACTATACTATAAAGGCTTAGGTAATTAACTAAATGTGAACAAATTGTAATGAAGTATTTTATAATATGGACTTCAGCCGTAACTCATACTGCCAGTATAGAAGTTCTGAATATAGCTAATTTGCCTATAAATGTAAATAACTTTTTAATTCGATTTATTTTATATTTTTATATTTGTTTTGAATTTTATGCAAAGTTTGGATATTTAGTATTTTTGAACCGTTGTTTGAAAGTTATAAAATATTGAAAAAAATAATCGTCCTAATTGTATAAATATAATAAACCCTTAAATCTCTAGGGCGCGTTACGGGTTTAGTGTGGATCTCTTCTAAGAAAAGGGTGTTTGTCCAAAGTGTGTCTCACAACTGTGGTCTCTTACGATAGCTTCAAAAGTCATCCGAGAGTTTTAGTGAATTGTTTACAACATGTCACTTCCGCAGGCTGCGCAAGATTCGAACAGGCCAAGGCTGTATTCGTCTCGTTGTTATTTTTATAAATTATTCACCAATTTTATCAATATGCGTTTCTCTCACCTGACGTGACGTGAGTGAGCATTTGAAACAACATCGTTAGAAATAGTAATTCTTTATTTAAATTTACTTGGAAAAGTCTTTGCGTTTTCTTCTTATCAATCCGATAAGAAAGTAACCGTTGTCGTACAATGAAACAATAGCTAATAATCACCAAGGCATTAGAATTCACTGGAGAGGAACGCGCCGCCCACAGTACAGAACTAGACCTGATATCCTTGAGGACTTTGCGCTTGCACAGTCCATGTCACACTCGTTCTGTCATTACAACCAGTTACTGGTTGATTGTGGGGAAAAAAAACAAAAACTAAAGTGACAGAATAAGGAGTAACGGTACAAAATTCAAAAAAACGACGATTTTTTTTAATTCCAAGAAGAATTTGGAATCGCGCGAAAATTACGTGCTCTTCTAACTGGCCAGCGTTTTAGTGTTAAATTTAAAAATGGAACGAAATGAAAGTGGCTTGGCTAATTGTAGATATTAAAAGAGTAAAAAAAACTTGATCGGTTAATTGCTTGAAACGTGAAAAAAAAAGAAAATCTGTGAACATGTCGACTTGATCAGATTAAATGCATGTAAGTGTACAATAATAGCTTCTTTAATGTAAAAATAGTTTAACGGTGAAAATAGATATGTATCTTAATAATTGTGTTCAAAAGGAAGAATTGTAAATTGAAAAAATATAAATCAATAAGTAATGATGCTATTTTTCCGGATTTAAATCGCGTATATTTGTTTTTTCGGTCGGTTTGTTTGAAAAAAAACTAATATACGCGATTTAAATCTGGAAAAATAGTTTCATTTACTATGTGTAACAATCGCGAACACCTAAGAACTCAATATGAATCAAACTACAGTGTCATGACTTATCCAATAAGTGAAGGTATTATGTTTCTTCTTGTTATCGTATGGTGGTGAAAGGATTTTCC